ATCAGGCTGGCAGGCAGAAGCGATTAGGGGCAATCAGGCAGGCAGGCAAGCAGTTGGGAGCCAGCAGTCCTGGATTCTGAGAGGGATGTCCAACCGCCGGTTTAGGGTGCAGGCTAAGCTGAGGGACACCCCCCCCCAAGTGCATGAATTTAGTGCACCAGGCCTCTAGTCCTATCTAATAAAGAGGGAATATGCTAATTGACCCTCATGCCATCGCAAAGATGGTGGCGCCCACAGCCAATAAGGAGGGAATATGCTAATTGACTGCCCCGCCCTCAAAGATGGCGGCGCCCACAGCCAATAAGGAGGGAATATGTTAATTGACTGCCCCACCCTCAAAGATGGCAGTGCCCACAGCCAATAAAAAGGGAATATGCTAATTGACTGCCACGCCTTCAAAGATGGCGGCGCCCAGTCCCCTCAGCCCCCCAGCCGCCCACGTCCACCCAAGGCTCAAGTAACCAGGGCCGGCCAACAGTGGCAGCAGCAGAGGTATGATGGGGTGTCACCTTCCCCTGATCACCGGGTTGCCTCCCACCCCTGAGGGCTCCCAGACTGTGAGGGGGGCAAGCCGGGCTGAGGGAACCCCCTCCAGTTCATGAATTTTCATGCATCGGGCCTCTAGTGTTTAATAAAAGTAATAGGCATAGGTGGCCAATGTTAAATTTGAACAATTCTGGTTTTATTTTAAAACAAAATGTGTGGTGTATTATGTGTGGGTTTTTTGTTTGTTTGTTTGTTTGTTTGTTTTTTATCTAAAGGTCATCTGATTTTTCTTTTTCTGCTCATAGTCACAGGGTATCCTTATCTAAAAACAGTGACCTATTGTTGTGATTCATAGATATTTTTTCTTAACTTCAATTTTAACAGAACAGGTCCTCATCTTCCCCAACTGCATGGAAAGTATCTTTTAACAGGAAGAAAAGCTCTAATGGGCTTTCAAAAAATTTTTCAAAACTGAGTTTACTATGGAATATTTTATGCAAATAAGTCGCTTTCTCCCTAGGTTATGACATCTTTCCCTTGAAAAGAGATCATGGCCTTGGCACAGGAGGAAATCCTTCCCAGCTTATCTCTTCTTCTCAGCACAACCTCAGCAAAGCGGTACAGGCGAGCGACCTTTTAAAGGCTTCAGAAATCTACTTATTGGTAGTCCATGGAGCCATTCAGTGTAGATGTTAATGGAACTTGGTGGGTTTAAAAACAATGAATATTTAATAAGACATAAATTGAAAGACATAAACACTGTTGGCAATAATATAATGAAGTTAATAAGTCTTCGCCTCCCCTTGCCAACCTCCCCCTCCCCAAATGGGGCGATTTGGGTGTTGCGGTGATGCTCACTGAAGTTTGCCAGCTCTCTCATTGGCTAAGACTTAAACGTGCCTTTGAAAACCTTAGCACAGTTGGGAACTGAGTGCTGGCAGATAAAGTGCGTACCACACTGTGTTCAGCAGCTACAGGCAGCAGCGACTCTTTCTAGTTCCATATCTTCCTGAGATTTGTGTAACAAACTCAGTTCTCTGCTGGTGAAGGCAGGAAGCAACATAAAATACTGCATGTCTTCAGACAAGAAAGAAAAAGACATCTTGGTCAGCACTCGGTCTGCTCTGGGTTTAAAACAGGGCTTACTTTAATGATCAGGAGCAAGCATGTGAGTCTGTGCTCAGACCTCAGACTATTTAAATGCTTTCTGGTGGGAAGTATGCTCTTCGTTTCCTCGTCAGGAGCATCAGCACCAAGTCCAGCCCTTCCGCTCAGCTCCTTCTTAGTTCTGTGGCTCTCTCTTTCCCACCATCCATGACCATATCTTCCCCTCTTTACCCTCTGAACTAATTACCCTGGCTTTGGGCTTCACATTACATGCTTCCTGGAAATCCAGAACCCTTCCTTCTGCCAACACACCCAATAGGATGGTCTCTCTCACATCCTAGGAAATGGCTTGTTTAACCTCACGGGAGCCAGTGCCTCGCTAGAACAAACTGCAGCAGAATCCTGCAAACAGCCAAGTGCAAGATCATCTCCCTCCCAATTCAGCAGCGGGCTCTCTCTTGGCAATAAAGTGGAACTCGGCTTCATATATCAGCTGGGGGAGTGTTAAATGGATGGCTAGCTCGCTGCTGGCAATCAATACGTGTTAATACATAGTAAACAAATGGCTTTCCATGGGCTGGGCAAGCACGGTGATTTTGCAGATAAAAAGGATAAAAGGTTGTTCCTGGGGATCTTGTCTAAGAGAATATATTTGGGGCTCAAGTGGGAGCCTTCCCAGGTGGGCATAAGTGACATTTAATCATCCTGAGAATTACGGCTGTTAAAAATTAACTTTTTTTATTTGTGCATTTGTGTGCATATTCAGAAAGAAGATCAACCCGAGAAAGTGCAGCCAATCGCGTCCTCTACCATGATCCATTCCGACCTGACATCTGTTTATGGCACCGTGGTGATGAACAGAGCTGTTCTGTTCCTGGGGACTGGAGACGGCCAGTTACTTAAGGTGGGTGTTTTGTGCCTTCTTCAACGTCGATTTTAATAGTGCCCTAATTTTGTGCTTTTCAATTATGTTTTATTGCATCTGAGTTATGCACAATACCATACCAACTGCTTTATGAACTTTTCAGTGACCCCCCAGAAATGGCCTGAAAGAATTTTCTAGAAGTCTGTTTGTAATTCTTTCCCTAGCTATGTAACGAAGCACAAGCCACCTTCTCTCCCAGCTCCCGCCAAGATATCCCCCCTTCCTTACTCACTGGTTGCCTGGATGAGGTAGGTGGGGGTCTGGCCCCTGCCCCATCCCTGACTCACCTCCTTGAGACATTTCGCCTTTCAGTTCTATCTCCTTTATAATGAGAATGTACAAAGCACCTGATTTCTCACGACTTCAAAGAAATGGGAGATGCAGGGCTTAAAGAGAGGAAAGAAACAGGTGCTTCTCTCCACAGAGGTCGGAGACCTGAAATCTGTGAGACTCCCCTTGACTTTGATCTCTGAGACTATACTTCCCCACTGCACGGGTGCACCCCTAGTCACGTTGAGATTTTTTATTCACTTGGGAGAGGGCCAGTGGGAAGGAGGAGAAAATAAAGTCAGGAATATCTAGTAATTGGCCTGAAATTATATAGCACTTACTAGTATCTTCCCAATTTCATCAGCAAGCATGTATGGAACACCTCCTGTGGCCTCCACCAACATTCGTGGTTGGGAACCACACCGTTTCTGTCACCCCTAGGGTGATATTCCTTTACCTCTCTGTAGCCAATTTATTGTCAGCTCAGATTCCAAATGGAAGGAAGGTTAACAGATTTGTTTTCTCCGCTGACCTCCCACCGATAACTAGCTGTGTGGTCTTAGGTAAGCTGCCTGATCTCTCTGAGATTCCGTTTCCTCATGTGTAAGTGAGATTGCACTAGACGGCCTGGAAAGCCCGTCCTCTTCAGAAGGCCTCCCGTCCTGCCTCTGTGTCTTATCCCCACTCGGCCACAGCTTTGCTCGCTCTACTGCAAACGTGCACCGTAGTCTTGTTGCCATACCTTTGCTCACACTGGATTGCTTTCTTTTCTCTCTCTGCTTTACTGAATGCTATGTCTCTGTGCTCTGGCTTAGTTTAAGCTCCATCTCATCTCTGAAGACTTCTGTGCTAAATCTGTAGTGATTAGGTTTTTCCCTCATCTCCTGAAATTCTCCTATCTGTATCTTTTTTTTTTTTTTTTTTGGCTCATTACAAATGTCTTGCTTTGATGCCTAACCTTTTCTCTTGTATTTGTCTGGCCTTCTCAACTTGATTTTAAGCGTCTTGAGAAGGGGGCCCTGGAGTCCCACAGCCTGATACAGTGCCAAGTGCCTGGTAGGGATTTAATTTAATCTGTTTCCTTTGGAGGAAACCCAGTAACATATGGGAGGGAGTTTGTTTGTATACACATTCTTTTAAAATATACATTGATCCTGTTTCCTGTTGTGTTAGCTTAATTTCCTGGGGAGAGGTAAACACCCATCAGTCATTCTACGCAAGTTGCTCGGTGCCATGAAGTGACATCTGTAGCTACACCAACCTAGTCAGGCCAATTAGAGCCATTAACCTGGCAGAAGAAGTTCCCGTCAATCCAAACTAGGCCTCCTCACCAATTATCTCTTCGGATTTGGGATATTTTTGATGACTGTTTTGACAAGAACACTGTTACCCCAAAGCTAAGCCAACCAAACTGTTACATGGTAAATTGGAGGTGAAGGAACACTTGGCTCTAAGTAGTTCCCCAGGGAAGGCCTGGCTTGCCCTCCTGTTTGTTCACACCACCAGTTCGTGTGCAACCGGCCAGTTTTTAGAGATTTGTGGCACCGGGGGTTGGGGGGTGGGGGAACCAAGCTGCAGCTTTAAACTGCTGAGCAAGAAGTGGCCCACTGAGGTCTCCCTTCCCTCAGCATCTGGAAGGGGTACCCCTTCAAAAGCCACATCTGGGCCTTGTTTGAATAACAAGGCAGGTTGATTTTTCGTTTGTTGTGTGACTGCTAACATTTATCCAGTGCTTCCTGTGTGCCAGGCACGCTACATGTTCTAGCTAATGCCATCCTCTCCAGAACTCTGAGAAGTAGGTATCCTATTCCCATTTTACAGATGAGGGAACTGAGGCCCAGAGAAGTTGGATGATTTGCCCACGGTCACACAATGGCAGAGCAGAGACTGGAACCTGGAGCAACTTCAGAGACTGCCCCTAATACCCCCATGACTTTGTAACCTCTGCCCAGGCGAGGGCAACCGTTCCCTGAGGGTTTGCTGGGGGGAGTGTGAAGCATGTTGATATCGAGATTGATGTGGGGGACCAGGGCTCCTGGGGTGGGTCCCGGGTCTTAGAGACTCAGAGAACAACCCCAGCTTGAAAAGGCAGATGTGATAACTTGTTGGGAATTAAGCCCCGCCCCCAGCTTCCCTCAGGATGCATTTATGGGGGTTTATGGGGGGAGTGTGAGCTGACTTGCCCCCCTGCCCCCCAGGCTCCCTAGAATAGCCCAGTAATTCCCAAGATTCTGCCATGTAACTTGTGTGCAGGTCCTTGGATGCAGCCCCTGCCATGGCCCGGAATCCTGGTCCTCGGGACTGTGTAGATGATTCGGAAGACACAGATCACCCCCAAATCCTTATGCACAAACTTCAAGCTTCTCGCTCACCAGACTTGTCACCAGAACTGTTAGAAAAGCCGAGCATTGATAGACACGAGCTTGGCTTCTTACAGCCCAGAGTGGTGGTACTAATGAGCAGCAAAAAACAAAACCCGACCCAGGGCAGATCAGCCGCAGGTTCCCAGGATGGGGTGAGGGGGGCGGTTAGAGGGAGAGTTTGAGGCATTTGACAGACGCAGGCACTGTAGTGTGTGCCTGGGTGGATGAGAGGCAGGAAACAGCAGTTGGGGGCCAGTTGCTGTTTTTTACCTCCACACACACAAATCCTGCTTCTTAAATCTTTGAAAACCTCGTGGAGTTTTCATACCATTTGGTGCAATATTAAATATCATGTTATTACTTAGTAACTTTTTAATTATAAAAGTGATATATGCGTGTAGAAAAAGTTGCAAAGTAGCAGGGGATGAGGGGAAGGCAAAGAAAAAAATCCTCCCGTTCTGTTATGTTGGAGGCAACTGTTGTCAGCAGCTTAATCTTCCCCCCCCCGCCCCCCTCCCCACACCCACATAGCTGAGGTCAGACTCTATCCAGTTCTGTATCCTGTTTTTTTCTTCAGTTAATGAGAGAAGATGCTTATATTAAAATGTTACGGTAAACCTTTTGTAAGCAGTATTTTTAAATAGCTGTATCATGTTCTGTTATGTGGAAACATTACTTTGAATTTAAGCTGAGATAGTGAATCACTCTTAAAGTGTCTTTAAAGACACGCACTTTTCCAAGTAACCCGGCACTACTTCCAAGGGTAAGGTTCTGCTCACCGGAAGTGGAAAAACGAAGGACTTGACAGCGTGCTAAGACCTTTGCTGCCTCTTTCTCCTGCCTGTATTCCCAGTTCCTTCATCAAATTTTAAAAAATGGGAGGACTTTGGAATGGGAAGTGTCCTCTGAGAAGATCTAATCTGCCCCCTTATTTTATCCACGTGCAGTCCCCGTGGTTATAAGACAGGTTATGCTCAGTCACCCGTTATTTCCTCATTTGACTTCCTTTCTGAACACAGTTGCATTCTATAGTTTTTCAGTTGTCAGTGTCTCCACTGGGATCAGCTGAAGAAGCGTGGTCACACTGCACGCGGCTTTGGGGAATTTACATCACACGCGTTGCCAGTCAGGACACTGCTAAGTGTACTCGCTTTCATAAACACAGGCTGAATCTCCCTCCAGGTTGTGGTTCAGCCCGTCATGTGGTTTGGACTCCTCTGCGCTGACTAACGCATAAAGACATTTGTCCTGCCCTGGCCAGTGTGGCTCGGTTGGTTGGGCACCATCCCTCCGAAAGGTTGCTGGTTGGATTCCCTGTCAGGGCACATGCCTGGGTGCGGGCTCATTCCCATATGGGGTATGCAGGAGGCAGCTAACCAATGTTTCTTCTCTCTTCCTTTCTCTCTAAAAATCAATTAAAAAATCTTTTAAAAAAAGAAAAAGAAAATTGTCCTTATTTCAAGGGCAGAATTGAATATGTTGAGTTTTTCAAGGTGGTAAAATAAGTAATAACAGAATATGCATGAAATTTGAAATTTGTAACTTTACTTAGGCCCATTAAACTTTCTTGTAAGCATAAAAGATAACAAGGCCGCAAGCAAGGAATAATAATAGCTAACATTTCTGAGCTCTTCCTGTGTGCCAGGCATTAGAATGAGTGTCTTCATGGGTTAACTCATCTAATCCTCACAAGTCAATCCTATCACCATACCAACTTCATAAATGAGAAAACCTGAGGCTCAGAGAAGTTAGGTAACTTGCTCAAGGTGATTTGGACTTAAGCAGTCTGCCCCCAATGAAAATGTAGTCTGTAGAGCTTGGTAGAGTTGATGGAACTGGTTTTTATTTTTATCTTGTTCCTAATATTGGAATATCTGGGTCAAGACACCACTATTTGGGGTTTCATGAGAAGGAGCTATGGCTTCTGTGGTTTAAATCTTATCCTATTTGTGGATAGACTTCTGTATTAGAAGGAGAAAGAGTCCTTTTCTCTCGGAGTTGCACGTAGCTCATGGGAGCATCTGGTCCCACTTGGGGGCCCCTGCTTTTCCTCAGTGGATTTCTTTAGAGCAAAAGTGGGAAATCTGTATTCGAGTTGATTCTTGGGATAGCCCAGTGAGAGGAGGCTGGTGTTGGGTTCTTCAGCATCCCTAGGACTGAAGGAGGGTTCTGAGGGCAGGAGCCACAGCATGCCCTTTCCCCCGTCCAGCAGAAAAGCACCGCTACCCTCAGAACCTTACTCCCACTAGTGGATTTCAGTATCCAAACCATGGAACAAACTCCAATTCCAGAAAGTTCTTCCTGCATCCTAACAGTAGACAATCTATGTAACACCTGCAAAGCCTT